ATCCGCGTTAATAGTTCTCATAGAATAGGGTTAAATATAACAAACCATCGTGCACTGTGCACAAATTCATCATTATCACAATAATAACCTTTTAATTGTACAAATTAAAAATTAAAATATACATTACAATATAACATTACAATATACCTTTTAATTTTGTACACTTGAAAACTGGTTGTTCTCTCTTGTTTTTTTCCCTTCCTTATGCCGCAATTAACTGCCTTTCACTCGAAGTGGCATTTCTTTTGGAAAGTAGAGAGTTAACTGATTTGTACTGATTCTCACCAGGAAACAGACAGTTTTTGAGGCTTAACAACCCAGCTGTCACAAAGGAATCATTACAAAATTACAAAATCCAAGAAAATATGGAGTTGGTGCTTCTTTGTGTATCAATTGCTGCAGCGATCATATCACTCATTTTGCTGACAATCATAAGGTAACGTGTTACTTCAGGCTCTATTCTCAAAGTCATTAATTATACGCCAACTTATTTATATAGGTTATAACTATATAAGGTTTCTTTAGAAATATATATCATTTTTATTTTTTCAACAACTATGTTATTTGATGTATGATATCCACACTCAAGTAGCACCAATAAATCTTCTTAATCAATTTACCAAAATCAGTGCAATACATAACTATAACACCAGATCATCTTTGAATGAGTGTTTTTCTGTAAAATTTTCAAGAACTGAAAAAATGAAAAAATCCTTCTCAAGCATTGGCGTATCGATCTGGAACTCAATCCCACATTCAGTTAAATTACTAAATAAATCTAAATCTCGAAATAAAATAAAGAAACTACTCCTTGATGTCTTACGATGTGAAGATAACTATATTGAAGTCTCCCAACTGTACAGCATTTCTCAAAATTAACATAGTCTATACACTATGTATTTTTACTAGATTCAAACATATCAGGTACATGTAGGTGAGACATTCATCCTTTTTGTTTAAATGCATGTCCTGTAAGGAAAAACGGTTAATACTTTCACATAAGGGAGAAAAATCATATTTTTTCGCGGAATCCTCTCTACTGTGCTTTTTAATTTGGCATACCCTCACAGAAAACAATAAGGAAAACAGTAGTACTTGTTTTGGGGGCAGTGATAAATTAAACTAGAATAAATAAACAATAATTAAAGCCTGTTTATGTGTCATGTAATTTTTGTTGTGATTTCCACTGTGATTTTTGCCATGCTCGGCTGCAACCAGCTGTAATTTCAGTGTGATTCGAGAGCGATATGGCTGTAATTTCTATGAAAAGTAATAATTTTGTAGCAGAGGTTTTGTATCAGTGCATATACAGCTGTACACATGTCTTATAAACAAAGATGGTGTCGTTTTTGTCGTAAGTTCAAAACCTCTTGCGATATCACGCTGAAATCACGACCAAAATAATTTGCACTGAAATCACTTGCTGGTTTACACGTGCGATTTGAAGTTGCAGTGTGAGGCGGCAACAAAAATTACAATGGAAAATGTGATAAAAATTGGCAACAAAAATCGCCTGTGTAAACTGGCCTTAGATGGGCAGAGAGAATTTTTAGTCGCAGAACTTAGAAATATCTAGAAAAAAATATACACAACTAGAAAAATCAGATTAAAAAGAAAATACTGACAGAGTGTATTATTTGCAATAAAAAAATGTACATCAGAAATAAAACTTCAATATTACTGCAATGCTTTACAGATGCCTAGCAAACTCTGCGTATTACCTGGAGATACCGTTCCCTTTTTGAATGCCCAATACAAATAATTCACCAACGCCAATTATCACTTAGGATTAGGATTAGGCATATTTCTCTAAAAGCAAAATTGCACGCAGGATGTCCTTTGTGCTATCAATAAATTATACAGTGAGAAAAATAGGCCTTGGTAATGGTGATGGCCAGAAAACGCCATATATAGATGTAATAAAACAGAAATACAATAACAACATCAGAAGAAGGGGATCGACAAGGGGAGGAGGAGGAGAGAAAATGGGAAAACAAGTTTGTGCAATCAAAAACAAAGCGATCCGCTTAAACGTGATCGGAGAAGCACAAGGAGAACTGTTTAGAGGGGGCGCTTCGTAACTCATTTCCTAGCAATAGCTGGTGTTCCGGATGTCAACTCCTGGATGTCAACTCCTGGATGTCAACTCCCAGATGTCCAGTCTGGATATTTTACGGCTAAAATAATCCTAAGAGGCAAACCGAGAGGGCATAAAAACCTTATTCGCGAGCAAGTAATCCATATTCTGATTTTTCCTAGGAACTCAGACTGCAAAATAAGCGTGTAAAAAGTGAAAGCACAAGAAAATGGGAAATGATCCCTTGCACTTGAGCTGGGGCTTATGATTTCATTGATACCATGTTAGTATAATCGTGTTCAACAATGACATGATGGCTCTCATGCTTGAGGTAGCATTTTTATCTGTGTGTCGGTATTGATAGCGGCTTTAATTTTAATTCCACAGGGTTCAAGAGTCGGAGAGACTTTTTGTCCACAAAAATCTTCTCCTTTCTATTGGTCTTGGAAACCTTGTCTATGTTCTAGATAAAACCTTATTCTCTTCAAGAAATGAACACCACGTAAGTATAGCTATTAACATCCGATTTTATGACATAGCTTCATAGGCTTTTTGCTTAACTATCAGTGATAGGTAGCCTATCACTGATAGTTAAGAAAAGAGCTATTCAGAAGATCACGCCTTGGATGGGTATTTGTATGCATGTATATGATATGAATTAATTGGACGAGAAACGTCAATCAGTAAGTCTGTTTTCCCATCAGAAACATAAAAATAAATTCAGCCAGTCAATCAATAAATTAATCAAACAAACATTAAGATAGACTAATAGTCACACAGCCAGTGAGTCAGTCAATCAAACTCAGATAGACAGAGAGGACAATCAGATGGAGGAACAATTGCACGGATGGACAATAGGAAGAACAGACAATCATTTCCATCAGTCAGGAAACAGTGGAACATTTTAGTCAGGCCAGTTGGTTGGTTTGTCGCCTGCCTGTCACTAACATGTTAGCTCACTTGTTTGTTCCTTTGATTGTTTCTCATTCTAGGCTCATTTCGTGCACTTACTTCTTTGTTCGTTGGTTTTCTCAGGTTATTTGCCTCTGCGGTTACGATCATCCAGCAGTACTTTGATACCGCTTTGTTCACATGGATGTTAGTTGAAGGAATACTCCTCTACATCAAGTTGGTTAAAGTTTTTACAGTAAACAAGCAATATTTGACTTATGTGGCGATCGGATGGGGTAAGAAACATTGTAAGCACATAGGACATGGGTTTTATTTGTTGGGTAAAGTATAAAGCAAAAGAAAAAAAAGGAACGAATCAAGACAGCAGAATAGAAAAAATTAAAAAAATGCGTACTAAATAAAAATTCTGAATCAAATTATTCAATTTATTTTAGCACAAGAACCTTAGCATTTAGTCGCTCCCATATAGAGTTGTATGGATTTAAGACTTATTGAGATGGCATATTTCAGTCAATCTTGACGATAAATTAATAAAAGTATTTAAAAAATGCACAAACTGAATGGATCCCACTCTAAGAAGCATTCGCTACCAAAAACACATCCCAGACTATTTTTTATAAACAAGGCGTTAACTATGATAAGTTGATAACTATACAACAGAGTTGATGTTCGTGGGTGTAAATATGTTTTTGGACCGACTCAGGCTCATTTTAACCTGAGCCGTATTATTACTAAATTAACAAAAAGCTTATAGAAGATTACACCTGGGCATTGAATTCCACTACTTTTCGTGCTAAAAAAAACATGGTCTGTCAGTTATCAAGCTAAGTCACACTAATGTCTATGGTTGTGCGTGATTCACAGCAGTTAAAGCTGTGGTAATTCTCCCATAATTGACAAAGGTTGTTAAATTTAATCGTGCTTGCCCTGGCATGTTTTGCATTGTCAGCAAATATTTACTTTATGTTCCAACTAAGAAGTATACAAGAAATTCGTTTCTCATTAGAAAAAAAGAACAGCACATCGCAGGTACTTACAGAATAACGAAACTCAATTCAACGGAACTCTAGCTACTTGTAAAATTATAGGAATCAGCCAATTACTCCCCATACAAGCCTCAAAATTAACACACTACAATTTACGCAGTGGAGCATTCAAGCGCCGGTCACACGACACAAATCTACAAAAAAATATTACCGACCTGTTGTGATTAAGTGTTTAAAACCAATCCATTATATTCAACTGAACTCAGCTAAAATGGACAACTTAAATGTTTTGCATCATGTCCTGAACATTCAGAAAACCTAAGGTCATCAAACGTGTATAATCAAAATAACTACAGCAAATGCTGAGATTCTTCGGGACAACCCAAGAAATGAAGTCAGACTGAAATGCGTTGGAAGCTTAGCGAACGGCACTCTGCCCTAGCTCTCCCATCCTACTGAGCGGATATCTTGAACACTGCTGGCGTCGGGTCAGCAATTATTTCATTGTAAATGTTGACATAAAACTTGGCAGAAAAATGCAAAATTTGTCAAAACAATATTTTCTCCAAAGTTTTCTTGAAAGGAAAAATTACAATTCCATAAACAGCAAAAAAAATCGTCATTTAGAAGTGTCCAATTGCTGAACTGGCAGTTTGGCCTAATACTTGCCTGAAACTAAGCGGGTTTCGCTCGATTAAGACAAACTTACATTCACTTCGCTGCCGTGCATGGAGCTACTGCAGGCATTATTTCCACCAATGACGTTATTTGAAGTAAATTAGCCTGCAATGCAGGCGGTTTGTGGGCCTGCGATTGTTTGTCTCCTTCGAGTGTTTAGCCGCCATCTTGGATTCGCAAACAATGCGTTAACTTTGATAAGTTGAGGGGTTAGAATAAGTTGAAGGGTTAGAATAACCATGCAACTAATCTTGGGGGCGTTTAGTGATTTCATAGGGTTTGCGGGCAGGTGGCAAACCCTATGAGATCACTAAACGCCCCCGGATACTCTACCACTGAGCTACGGAGTATCTGTAGCCTCAGTGGTTAGGAGCATCCGACCAGTGTACGGAAGTTTCATGGGTTTGATTCCCGTCGGGTACTCAGATTTTTTTCTTTGTCCCACGCTCGTGACAAACTGAATACACAGTTACTTACTACAGTACGACAAAGCTTATAACATTTATCTTTACATTTATTATATGGGTATTATTTACTCCCAAATGTGTTCCCTACCTTACAGGATTACCGGCAATCATTATTGGTTTAGTAGCAGCCATCGATCCATCCACTTATGACATGGGAAAAAACGTTATATGGAGATGTTTATGTGTGGAACATTGAAATTTACAGGAGAGATCGAGAGAAAAAGGTTAGTTTGCCGTTTCTTTTCTTTAGGTAGGAGACTTTCTTTCTTTTATTATCGATTTATGCTTTATTATTAAATACTCAATCACTGTCATTGCATATCTAGCTTTCTGATTGGCTCCTTACTCACATGTTATCAGCTCATAACTCAAATTCTGCCAAATATGGTATCTCATAACACCCTCTGTGACCAAATATGATAAATAACAATTTTGTTCAGGGAGGTTTGTTCGTCGAGACAGTGAAAGTTGAAAAAGATGGCTAAATTAAGTCATTAAGTAAAAAGCTTTGGCCCTTGCAAATCAAATTTTTAAATAATGCACAAAGTTTTTGAACAAAATATTTAATGGGAAACGCCTGTAAATGTACAACAAATGCTACTGTACGAGCACTAAAGGCAGCCTAAAACAATATTTATGGGTAGATCCGAAAACCGACACCAATTCGTCCAAAAAAATGGACCACAAGTTTAAGCTTAGCCTATTCAGTATTGCTACCTTGTATTTTGTCAATTCCAGCTGGACTAAGCTTTTAAAATCAGCACATTTACAAGCTTATTTGATACAAAGCTTATACGGCAGTTCGTCAAGCGTTGGTGACACTGTGATGGTACAACCAAAGATCACTTAACAGTGAAATTATCTTCAAAGTACTCTCTTTCTCTCCATCCATGTAAATATCTAGGGTTTCATTTGTTATTTACTTAAGCAAACTTGATTTTAAGCTCAGTTCGTTTGAACACAATTAATTCTGTAGTCGCGCACGTTTTGCCCGCTGTAAACAAGTAAAACCCTTGCTCCGTTCTGCTGTCCATTCAATTTGTTCAGCTCCACGATTATTTTGGGTCTTAACTAAGCTTAACTATTTTTCAGAATATGCGAAACTTTAGGAGAGATTGAGCGATGATTAATCCGAAGAAAAGTTTGCCTTGCTCTCTTTTCATTCAACTTGCTAACTGAACACTGCCAGTTTTCATAGAAATCACGTTTAATTTATATCGGACCGAAAAATCACAGTCGATTTATAAATAATAAAAAAACTAACTATTACAGAAATTTAACCTAAAGTCAGTGAAGTATTTCCAGTGTGACGCGCCTTAGCGTAGCCACCCAGCAAACTTTTTAGTGTCCTCTCGTGATATTATAACTTTTGTTGATAAAAACGATGTGACAGGTTTCCATTTGATCGTGTTCAACTTTGCAAGGAGGCGTGTTCGTCAAACAAATTATAATATTATGAGAGGACACTTGTAAAAAAGTTTGTTGGCTACGGTATGGCGCATCGCACTATAACCCTTTTCATTCGCCCCTGTTGGATATGACATGATGAATTGTTAACTGTACAACTGATGATGGATACTGCATGTTCTTTACCATATTTGGTCACCAAGGGTGTTACTAGCAACCATATTCCGTGTTACAAACTGAAAACATGTAAGTGATGAGCCAATCAGAAAGCTAGAAATGCATTTCAAATTGTTTGAATCGTCTTACTGCTCGTAGATGCTGGATTAATGGCAGCTTGTGGATTTACAAAGGACCTGTTCTAGCAATTCTTGTGGCAAGTGTACCTTTCTTTAGTTACTTTGACATGTCTAAACTTGATATATTCAATTAATAGCATCTCATCTTGTAAAATAAAGGGAACAAAATGTAATTAAGAACTTTAAAGTCATAAGCTATAAGGTCTAACGTAAATGTATGTACAGGACAATTGTAGAAAAGCAGCAAGTGTAACATTTATTATATGGATGAGATGTTTCACTAAAAATTATCAGTCATTAATAATTCTTGAGGTTATAACAAAGGAAATCATAATCTTGAAGGAGATTTGGATATCTGATCTCAATTATATTTACTATTTTTTTTCTCTGTTTTTTTCCGTACGTTTTTATTCTTAATGAGAAGATACATGTATATCAAATATTCGAGACAATCAATGTTTCGTCCGATTTCCAAACGTTGAATTTCGACAAAAATACGTATACTCTACTTTGCGTTCTATTCTCGGTGTTCGGAAATCGGATTAAACACTGCCTGTTGTGTTTTATATATTACCTAAAACACTCATAGAAGACATAATTTGTTGCATCCGGGCTTCGAATGTCGTGCTTTTTTTTAAATATATTAATCCTGGGAGAGGTGTATATACCAATCCTGCCACAGTTCCCTCCGTCTCAAACATTTGAAGCTGAGAAGTTTCTCAATCGAAGAGCAAGCAAAGGAAAATAACAAGGACAAATATAAGCAATGATATCAAGATTTTCATGAAATTTCTGGTAAAGTGTTTACTGCTGTGGGAAAGGATACATATAAGATATTCTATTGAAAGATATCCAGTCAATCATTAATAAATGTGTGGCTGCTGTCCGAGAGAAAAAGCGACGATGATTATGAGATCTTATCTATCAGAGCGTTTACTCGAAGCACTGGCCATTATCTTGGATAAGACCAAAACAACAACAACTACTACGGATTGTAACATATTTCATAAAAACACGATTTTACAAGAAAGTGTACTATTTGATGTGGATATTTAATGAAACACATACATATTTTTGCAAAGCTCCAAAAAATCTGAATCTAAAATCTGAAGAAATGCAAATAGAAGGTTTCGAAAGAAGGAATAGCTCAATCTATTTTATAGTGCACTTCAACATCATGATTTATAACAGTAATATGTTTCAGGTTAACTTGGTGGTTTTTGTGATGCTTTTGCGAGTTGTGTTTGGGAAAATAGCCACCAAATATGGGCAAAATAAGATCATCGCAGCTAAGGTAAGTGTGAAAAACGTAGAAAATAAAGAACGGAATATATATAGTACTCAAGTTCTGTTTTTATTGATATAAAAAAGCCTGCATCATTTTCGTATAGAACATTTGGGCGGTGACGTTAAGCCGTTGGTCTTGTCTCCTTCATCTCCTCGTACCAAATAGTAGGGAGACGTTAAAGAACCCACATCACTGTTCGAAAAGAGTAGGGGACGTAGTCCCCAGTGTTTGTGGTCTGGCCTATTCACATGTATTCATGGTTGGGTGGGTGGGGTGAGATCATGAATGGACTGATAGCGGCTGCCACAGGCGCCTTACAAGCTGACGTCCGATCTCACCCCTGAGTTGAATTGTAAAGCGCCATCTGAATATTATAGAAAATGCGCTATATAGATACCATTACCATTTATATCATTTCGACATTATACACTAAATTGTTGATAATAAGGTTATTCATTTAAATATTAGTAGGGTCACATGATAAATATACCTTTGATTCGCTGCACTATTCCCACCAAAACAATTCCAATGTATTTTCCAATTCTTAATTTTAATGGGCTTATTTACCTAAGAGAATAAGGCTTTTTACGTTCTATTTACCTAATAGAAGATGGTTTTCTATGTTCTATAAGAAAATGATGCAGGCTTGAGGTCTAGAAAAGCAGCTAGTGAAATTATCCTTACTGAATCTAATGTGATTGCGAGTACAATTGCGAGTGCGAGGGAAGTTTTCCAAAAGTTAAACTGCTAAGAAAACTGCTACGTTTTCGAAACTAAAGTACAAACTAACGCTCAAATAAACAATTTACCTTGTCTACATTTTATTGAAGACATTTTCCATACAGGAAGCCAGGTGAAAATCGCTGAACGAATCAAAGCATCTGCCACGACTGCCAGATTTCCTCGCGCTCGCCGGTCAACTATGGAAATCAAAATCCTAGACTTGAAAATATTTAGCCTCAAAATCACTCAAACAATAAAGCCACAATAAGCCTATACCTTTGTCCAATAGCTTAATGGTAATGGTAATGGTATTTATATAGCACATTTAGAAAATATATATAGCTACATTGTTTGGTTGGTCGAAGTATGCTCGTAAATGCGTGTAAAAGCTGAATTTCTTGCAAACAAGCCAAGTTAGCCGACTGTAAATGATCCGATTGAGTGAGCGTATACGCGTGATCTGACGTCATATCTATTCTTTATACTCTGGTAAAGACATAGCTTTTTCTGTGAGAAACATACGCGCGAGAATCTCAGCTATTTTATAAAAGAAAATAATGCATGGGCCATGCCGTATCTAAAACCACTGTTTTCTAAACAATAATGATTATGCTCTTGGCTGTTCGAAGTATTTAATTAATTTTATCACCATTATTTTTTTATTTATTTATATATATTATCCATGTATTAATTTACTTATTTTGTTAATTTTTTTTTGTGTGTGTGTGTGTGTGTGTGTGTCAGGAAAGGAGCAAGGAGTATTGTTGCCTTGCTTCCATTGCTCGGAGTCACATATCTGCTGGGATTTTTTGTTGAGTTCCACGATGCTGTGATATATGCTTTTATTGTGGTGAACTCGACACAGGTAAAAAGTATTGTTCAAAACTGCCAATATTGTCTTCATCTTTGGAAGCTTTATATTATATGATGTTGAGCCACCAGTTTCAGTTTTTTGTTGTTGATAATACATAGATGTTATTGAACTTGCGTGAGGTTCCGTAGTTGGAAAATATTGGTCGGCAAGGTCCATAAACTTGTAAAAAAAAGAATGAGACCAATATCTCCTAATACATACTGAACAAGCTAGTTCAATAAAGTTTTTATTATAATGGCTTTTTTAAAACCTTTCTGATAAATTAATGCAAAAATTCTAGGGTAACGCGCGCGCGTCAAAGCTAAGCATATTCTTGCATTTTTCAGGCCACTTTGCGAAAAGTTTAACCAAAATTGTCCGCCAGACAT